CAATAATCAGAAAGAGTCCAGATATCGCCCTGTACCATTGTACAGCAGGGGTTCTCAAATTGTGGTCCCTGGACCAGCAGCATCAGCCTGACCTGTGAACTTTTAAAAAATGTGAATACTTGGGCCCACCTTACATCTACTGAATTAGAAATTCTGGGACTGAAGCCCAGCAGTCTGTGTAGTAACAAGGCCTCCAATGGATTGAGATATACGCTGAAATCTGAGAAAGCTAAGCTTGAGTAATCCAATTTTGCTGAAATAGAATGGTGGGGTGAGTGTGGTATCAGAGTTTATCTGAGATTTGGAGGCAGAGAGAGAGACAACACTGGGAAGTGGGCTGCCAACAGAAATTCAGGCCAAAGGGCTCTAATAGCCAGTTTTCCATTTGGAAAAGGAGGGCAATTCTAGGTCAAGCCAAGTCAGGAATCAGAAGGCATGGAGGATGATGGAGAAAATTATGGGAACAGGCACAGTTTTTCCCTTTCTGCCAGGTTTCTCCTGATGTCTCTTGCCTGAAGACACATTAAAGTCACTCAAGGTCTTTGACACAGGAAGAAACTCATTGATAATGAACCTAAAGGAAACAACCCTTTCATTCATCTAATTTCACTTGTAAGACAATGCAGTGAAAGCTAATGAAACTGAGCTCAGAGGGTGTAAATAGGTAAGCCCTGGGTAGCACATGAGAGGAACGAAAAAACCTTTCCTAAAAACTTGATGTCTCTTCGACACCACTCCAGTTTTGGTGGACAATGGAGGTTTCGTTAGTGCGAATAGAACAGATCGTTAACAAAGCATTTAATGCCTCTCTCACTAGATCTTATTATAGCAGTAGAGGGCTATTTGACAAAGAAAACTATGCCAAGGATACCAAATCACTTTACAGAATCTAGAGTACATGAAGAAGATAAAATATAACTGGGAAGGCTTGTGACAAGTAAGTTTTCAGACAACTTGGCTATGAATTCTAGTGATCAGAGAAGCCTCCAAAAATAACTTAAATATTAATTATCTATTGATTAAATATTTAACAGAATTGGTTCATCATTTGGTCTCTGTCCCAGTGTATCAGTGGTAGCAGTTAGTCAAAAGGACCAGTTGCCTTCGAAGAGTGGCTTTCAAATTTAGTGTGCATCAGAATCCCCGTGGAGGGCTTATTCACACAGATTATTGAACTCTACCCCCAGAGTTTCTGATTCGGTAGATCTTGGGTAAGCTTGAGAATTTGCATTTCTAGCAGACTTTCAGGTGATGTTGATGCTGATGGTCCAGGCACCATGCTTTGAGAAACATGGGAGGAGAGAAAGCACTGAGGAGAAGAGATGCATTCAAGATTACACCACTGGAAGGAGGCAGAAAGTAGAAAGAAGCACTCCACTGCATAAAGCTGAACTGGCATCTGGGAATGAGAGATACCAGGCAAGCTTTGGATGATTACAGGAAATAACTTCTGAAAGGTAAAAAATGAAAACAGATCTCCTTATACCTATGGTAACTTTTTTAAAGTTCTCATTTCATCAAGAATCAAGACAGGGATCATAAAGGAAATTGTCTTTGAGGCTGTATGCCCTACCTGATTGCTCTTGAATTAGAACTCAGCCAGCCTGGTTGCTTATTTCCAAGGTTAGCCACAACCTGTGCAGATGTGTGGGAAATGGCCCACTACTGAAGCTGACTCTTGTGAATAGTCTCTGGTGTGAGGCTGCAAGAAAAACATTTCTTTTCCCAAGATGTTTGTCTTTTCCCAAGATCTCCACCACTTGCCCACAGATGCTACGTGTGACATACAGTTTGACTCTGAACTAAGATACGGACTGTCAACGTCACCTTTTCCTCAAAACCTTTGGCAGATTCTCTCTGCAGTCTCAGGATGGAGTGTTGGACGCCGTCTGAATGCCGGAGAAACCTTCCTCACTGAAACAGATTTGAGAGCAAAGAAAAGCACTCACTTGTCAGACTTTGGTGGAACTTGGTTTTCTGTGCCTCGTTGTCTCATTACTCTGTGCTGAGTCAATTATCATCAGGAGTCCACCTGTGCCCAGTGATGGGGCAGCTTTGACTTGCACAGGGTAGAAGATGGAAGGGAAGTGGTCCACAAAGATTGACTGTTTACTCAGCCTCCATCATGGGGATTTTCTTGGCCACACTTGGCTAAAACTGACTCATAAGGAAGACAGCAAGTCAACAGTTCATGGGAGGTGGAAGTGTTTCTATTGTTCACATGCCATTTGGTGCAGTTAAATCATCTCCTCCACAACCCAGAGAGGAAGGTGCTTCCACCTACACCTTCTTCATTTGGGGGAAGGGATGGAGAGGGAATTCTCAGCATCTGCTTCATTCCTATAGCTTTCCTACTCCAAAGAGGAAAGAACAACTTTGATTATCAGACATATTGATGAGAGCCTGACAATCACTGGCTATACCTCCACTGGGCAGAGTAAAAACTCAAGGTCACTCAGTGCTCCTACATGCTCCCCATTTCCTGATTCTTCTTGAACTAGACTTTATTTCAAAGTAATGATTCAGTCTCTGTGGGTCAATCCCTTGGTGGGACCACCCCATAATAGGGAGGACTTTTCTAGCTTCTCAGCTTGGGACTGGGTGGATAGGTGTGCCTTCCAGGGAAGACTTGGCTTTTTATAATTCTGAGTGGGAGGTCAGAAACCCAGCTATATTCTCTCCTCTTCTAATTGTTACAGAAAGTCAAACAGAATTGATGTTGCAATCCTCATTTAACAATACGTGTATCTTTTATCAACCAGAATCCTCAAGGAGAAGTAAGGTAGGCATTAGGATCTGGGGCCAGCCCTCCTCCCCAGCCACTCCCTCACTCTTAATTCCCAAGAAGTTCTGAGACTGATGCTTTCCTGTAGATGCTCCTCTTATGCTAGGATTTATCAGGTGCTGTGGAGCTTTGTTGGCTGCAGGACATTGCAGTCAGGAAAGGGACTAAGACTTGGCACTAGACATGCCCTTCAGAGTGGGGCAGGCCCAGCTAACAGGAGAGGTTGGAGAAGGCACAAGTGCCACTTGGTACTAGACATGCCCTTCAGAGTGGGGCAGGCCCAGCTAACAGGAGAGGCTGGAGAAGGCACAAGTGCAAGGAGTTCAGCTTTCCACATGGAGGTTCAGCTAAGTAGTTGGCACCAGGTACTCCAAGTGGAATGGCAAATTATGCCAAAATATGAGTAGTGCCCCCTGAAAATTAGGGTCAGGAAATTTTTGGAAGTCAGGGCGTGCTGCCAGCCTCTGTCACATTTGTCCCAAGAAATCCAGGCCCCAACACTAAACTAAGATAAAAAGCTAAAGCCTCCCCTGATCTTAACCTCAAATAAGGAGAGAGGTACTGATATGGACAGAAGACAGGGAACACACGAGGTAGAAGATGGTTCCCTGGCAAAGGCCCCGCCCTCAAGCCTGGAAACCCATAGCCCTAAATGGAAACAGACATTCCTGTTTTTGCACCCAAATATTGCCTTTTGGCCCACCATGCCCCACTATCTTGTACCCATATAAACCCCAAAACCCACACTCCACAAGTATAGGAGCAGAAGAGCAGAGGAGCCGAAAACTGGTGCGGCACCAGAGAGAAGAGGAGTATCTGAGCATCAAGAGGAATTCAGTCGGAGATGGTCAGAAAGGACATTGGCTGCAGGATGGGCAAACTCCAAGGGGAATATCACCTTCCTACTCCATCCCCTCTTTAGCTCCCCATCCATCCAGCTGAGAGCCAACTCCATTTGACAACAAAGGCCCCTGCATTTACCATCCTTTAATTTGTCTGTGTGACCTAATTCTTCCTGGATCCTGGACAAGGACTCAGGTACCAAGAGGGCACTGAGCTGGTTAACTCTTAAGCCATCTGCAGATAGCAGAGCTAAAAAAGCACTGTAATGTACTGACTTAGGCTTTGGGAGTTGCAGGCACCCACCCCTAGATGCTACCATGGGGCTGGAGCCCAAAAGTGCTCTCCACACAAGCAGGGAGCACCTGTTCGTCTGCATGCTCCCCATCCCATAAGGGGTTTGAGCAAGGCAGCTGAACAGACAAGCCACACCCCTGTTGCATGTTCTGCGAGGAGGTTCAGGGAACTGTCCCATTTCAGTACATTCAAAAGCTAAACTAGAGATGGTTGAACCAATGATGAGTTGAGAACCAGCGAGAGGTTTGGGTATAGGAGTTTTGTAACTACAGTGGAAATGTTATCAGACTAGAGAGCTGCAACCCAGGGGTGAGGGTGGAAATCCATTGAGAAGCCCTAGACCTGATCAAGAGTGATGGTGACGAGGTAACACACAGGGAGCCCAGTGGTCAGCTGGTTCAACCTAATCTGGAGAATGACTCAATACTGGGTTGCCACTGCTGCTAGGGGAGGAGGAGGAAGTACTAACCCTGTTTCAATATTTTCTGTCTCAAGTCCACATTGTTTTGGGGACTGAGATCTGAAGTTCAGGGGATGCGGGCCAGTGAATCTCACTACAGACATTGCAGATCTGCAAAGGGAGGGCATGAGACAGGCTGAAACCATTGCAATATGTACTCACCCTGAGGGCCTGAGGACCCAGATGATCATCTTAATTTAGATTGCTGCTTGGCCCAGGCAGACATGCGAGTGCCTGCAGACAGTGGCTCTGGCACTGGCACCCATGGTAGCAGCTGGCCTCACTGTGATGGGAAAGCCTCCAGCTCCCTCCAAGATGCAGTCAGGGTTTCTGCTCTCATTCTTGGAAGAGTGCTGTTGGATGAGTTAACTGGAATCATCTTGCTTTCCCGGGAAATTGTTGTTCCTTTTGTCTGCTCTGCCTCTGGGTGAAATCTATAGTGCTTACTTGCTGCTATTTTCTACCATCCTAATAATAGCTCATTGTTAGGCAGACATGACGCGAATACACTTCTCACCATCTTGGGAGACTTGGGGGTCTTCCCTTCTCATTTAAGTTCTTTGTTTAAGTTTTTTTGGTTTGTTCTCTTTTTTGCCCTTAGATGGTAAAGAAGACAAATTGTTGATGAAGGAAATTGGCAAAATATCAGTACATCTTGAGTTCTCTGGTGTTCTGCCTTTTCCAGAATCTTCTGATCTACCCCTACACCTGCATGAAAAGTGCTTCATGCAGTGAAACTCTCCTTAATGGGTGTCATAAGTGAGCTCATTAAATTTGGTGTTTGCCATCAATAACCCCTCACCTTTCCATTTGGGGAAGCATCCACAATTACCTCTTTTTTTTTTCGCTATCTTGTTTTGCCCTAGAACAGGTAGGAACATTTTATATTCAGCAGCTTATCATCATAGGTGCAGAACAAAGACAGAGCTAGAAGTCATCCCTCTGCTTACCCGAGACAAATGCATGTTTGACATCTATTTGGAATCAGGCACATCTGCCCCTGACCTTCTCCTGGGAGCACTTTTTATTTAAGATACTTTTGATTCATCTCTTGAACCTCCTCTTGATCTCCAGTTACCCCTGAGTCCCACTCATACACTTCTTCTTTATTACTCCCTAGAAAGGAAGTAGCAAGGCACAAGACTTTTGCCACTGAGTAACTGAAAAGAAAGAAATCTGATAATCTGGGAATTAGAAGAAGCCAGGGAAACACATCCTCAACCCTTAAGGTGAAGCTCCCAGTAGTAACCAAGAATAGGGAAGCTCAAACTCAAGCACCTTTCTTGAGATAGAGCCTTAATGAAATCTGGGATTGGGAATGCATGTGTTTCTTTGTCTATCTTAATGTTTTTTTCAAGACCATTTTTGTAGCCATCCACAGCTCTTTTGTAGGCACAAAGAAAGGGGGCTTACCTCCCAGGCCTGTGGCTGTGAAAAGAAGATAAAATTTCAGGACCCTAAACTCACTATGCCAAAGGGAAAAGTTTAGCTTGAGAACTGAGTTACACAAAACTGCCTCTCATTTTGTTCCTAAATAGGGTAGGTTACACGGCGCCCCAGGAGGCCTCGCTCACAATTTGCTAGCAAGAAAATTCCCTGTGCACCCCAAGATCTTTACCGTAAAACAGAGGTCTGCTGAATTTCATCCTGACAATGTAAATCAACAGCTGATCTTTACAGGTGCAGAACCAAGGCAGGATTAGAACTCATCCCTCTGCTTACCTGAGACAAATGCATATTTGAATGCTTCCTTTACTCTACATTTACTTTCTTTTACCTAAAACTGCAGATTTGCTGAGCAGGACCCAATGCATAGTTGACTACACCGCTATCCCCTCTTTTCACATGTAAAATGTGGATTCAGTGAACACTGATCTAGCCTCAAAAGAATGCAATTGTTTGCCTCTTTTATCTATTCTTCCTTCTTTATTTTTTCTTTCCTCTTTCCCGAACTGCTTACTCTTTCCCCTTTACATGATGAAGTCTCCAAACCCTCTTTGGAAAAAGCACAAATCACAGATGTTCCTGTGACTTTGTGTTCCCTTTCCCCCAGCACATCCTCAACCTTGGCAGAATAAACCTCTAGATTGACTGAGTGGCCTCAGCCATTTGCTTTGGTTTTACATGGCCAGAGCATACCTTCCACCTGTGGCTTTACTTCGGGCATTGAGGTTGTTCCTTCTGCCATCCAGTAGCCGGTACTGTCTCAGTCAGAGCCATCCGCTGCACACAGGGACCTCTGCATCCTTCTCTCAGATGTGGACACCACTGAGCAAATATGTATCCATTTGACTTCCAACTCCTTTTTAAAATTAATGTTGGCATTTTTTAAATTTGCTTTTCCTCATTGACAAATAAACAACATACATGCATGGTGTACAGCATGTATACATTATAGGATGGGAAAATGAAGCTAATAACATACACTTTACCTCACACACATCATTTTCTGGGGTGAAAACACTTAAAACCCACTTGGTAATTTGCAAGTACACAATACATTGTGATTAGCCACCATGTTGTACAATAGATCTCTTACACTTACTCCTGCTATCTGGAATTTTATATCCTTTGAACAACATCTTCCTAATCTTCAGCTTCCTTGTTCAGCTTCAATTCTTCCTCCCAAACAGAAGTCTCTCCCCTCTCCATCCCTAGCATCCAAATGCTCTGTATGATTCAGGGTTCAAAAGAGGATCCAATCGTGCCAGGAAGCTCCTCCCCCACTCTGGTTCTTCCTGGTATCTCTTTTAATTATGTTCTCTAGCACCTGTTACAGTGATTCATATCCTGGGTACGAATGTGAATCGCCTGTGGACTGTTAGAAATATAGACCCTGACTAGACAGACCTAATCAGAATCTCTGCGGGTGAACTGCAGGCATCTGGCTTTACAAAGTTTCTAATGCACAGCAAGGGTATGAGAAAAACAGATAATACATAAATGACTAATTTTAGTATTTAATCATAACATACCTGTTGCTAATTATCTGTCTTTTGAATATGTGCTTTGTAACTTCTAGAGGACAGAAACTGTATCTTACTTTTTTTTTTGGTACACCACCCTTTCCTCCTGTACCTAATCAAATCTTAGATCCAGGGTTGAGATGTTTCAATGAATATTTTGATACGTGTTTCTGCACATACTAATGCCACTTAAGGGTTCAACAAACATTTTTGAATAATTTCACTGTGCCACGCACTGAATCTAGGAAGATGAAAGCAACATGAGTTCTTTTAGACAAATCCTTAGCTAACAGGTGAAGTTGTTTGAAACTTGGTTGTTGGGTCACATGTGGGGCTAAGAAAGATTTGCTATGATTACAGGGATTGACTGCAGAAAGAGGATAGTGGAGAGTGGAAGGAGCCTCTGGATTTGCAAAGGATGCAGGTTTCAGAGTATTTTGAGGAGGTTCTACTATTTGTGCTATCATACATTCCACCCCTTCCTATGCTGTGTCAGAAGCAGGTAGAGGTTGAAACATCAAATCCCTGCACATCTCCCTCCAAACGGCCACTTGTTGGAAAAATAATCCCAGTTTTCAGTCTGTGTAATGCAGACATGAGGAGCCACTGGGCAGCACAGCCTAGAGTTCTCATTATTTAAAAATATAATGGCCTCTTGCAAGGAACATAAAGGCAGCTTGGCAGCTACATTTTGCTTCAGCAAAAACTGAAATCTATGAAAATTTTAAAATCTACATAGAACAAGGGGGATGTTATTTGATTTTTAAAGGATTGTTGTCAAGGTACCTTGTATCTAGGTGGGGAGAAAGAAACCATCAGGTATGGGCTGAGCGTTAGATTTGACTCTGCTTAGTGGGGCTCCCATCTGAATTGTTAGTACCTTGGTGTCAGAGAGGCAGAGGCTCCCCTGAGACAATTTCAGGTTTGTTTGGTGCTTTGAGAGGCCAGGCTGGGGAGAGGTTCAAGGAGATGCCTGTTACTACCACCGAGAACAAGGGATGCCTTTCCAGGGGCTTGGTTTGGAGTTGGATGGAGTCTACCTTCCATAGGAACATTGATTATTTGGGGATAGATATGGGCTACCAAAGTCAAGTGCTTAATCCCCAATCCAACACTTTGATATCTCTTTCAATATACCAAATTTCCTCATACTCACTCAAGTACTTCCAGCTTTAAGAGGAAGTGGGTAGTGAGAACCTAATCATATGTATATGATTATAGATGGGTGGAGGAATGCCAATGCCAATAGCTAGTCACAGGACACAAATTCTTTCCTAGTATATAGTTAGGTGGAAAATAATCTACAATCGCGAATGTCGAATGGGCCCAGATAGTGATTTAGGGTAGGCCATTGATAAAATGGCAGGTTTGAGGGATTAAGTTCAGTAGATGCAGGATTTTCATATTCATTCAGGAGATATATAAGAGGAGAGCACCAGGGATGAGTCTAAGAGTTGCACATGACACAACACCCAAGCAAATAGATTGAATTCGTGATTTTAAGATTTCTCACCAAAAAAACTCATGCAGGGGATTCCATCTTCTCACAGGTTGCCTGGGTTCACCTGAGACGGGGGGCAGGCTGAGAGAGGGCCATTGACAGTTGGTGGATTGGGTCTAGCTTCTGATCTGACTCTCCACTGAGGACATAGAAGTCTTTCGTGTCCAGGAAATTAGAGTGAGTGGGAGATGAGAAGGTCATTGCTGGGACTGGTTCCTATGCAGGGATCAAGTTACTTTAGAACCTGGATCTCTCAGAATGGATTGCTGGGGTCTCTGAACCTCAAATCAAATAGGAGAGCTTTATATTTAGTCTGCACATTTCAAGACTGAAATCAAGATTGTCATTTTGACTACGGTGTCTCTGACCCGGAGCTATGGCAAACAGGAAGGAAAAAGGTGACTTGGGCTTCTCTAGAGCTTCTCATAGTGTGCGAAGAATGACCAATCTCATCTGATCCCGCTAAACAGCTGCTCTGTTGTGATTAGATACATCAATACGATTAACGATTTCATCATCTTATGAGGTTCCCAGACTTTTTTAGTTTTGTTAATGAAGAAACAACAGTGGGACTTGTTAAATAACTCTTCCAAAGCAAGTGACAGAGTCAAGATTTGAATCCAGGATTTCAATGCTACAGCCCATCTTCTATTCCTAAAGCTATTAATGCCACATCACACCCAGGTGTGCTATGGCGGGAAGCAGTGCCAGGGGAACATGGACTTCACTCATGTCATTGTAGATGGGTTATTTGGGTTAGCTCTTCTGCCACATCACTTAGCAATAGCAGAGGATTTAGATTAGATTTTCTTTAAGGGGGTGTCCAGGACCAGATTCTCGCTTAAAGACCTTCGTGGCAGGCACTAGTGGTGGACATGTCTGCAGCATGTCCTTGTGAAGGAGAATCTGAGCTGGCCTCTTCTACCTTCTGAGTTACGATTCTGAGAAAGGAACCAGACAAACAGCAGGAGGTTTCAGTTCCCAGAAGAGGCATTGTTCTTCTCCAGCCGCCTCTGCTGTCTGTCCTGTTACCTAAACGAGCATTACTCCACATGCCTGAAATAGTCACCTTTCAGGAATGCACCTGACGCTTGCAAAACGGGACAGGCTTCTGTCCATAGGACTTCAAGATGCAAGCAGATTTTGGGTTCTCTTCCTGCCTGATTGGTTTTTCTTGTTTCCCTAACACCATTTTCTGATTTTTTTCTCTTTGGCCAAGTACCTCCTTTTCACACTGTGTTGGTAACAGCCATTGGGTAGACCAGCTTGCCTGGCTGGCTTGCATAGATTCCACTCTTCAACCTCAGGTTTGAGCATCTGCCATCTATTACACCTCCCTGTCTTGTAAGTGATGTTGCAATCCATACAAATAAACGTCAGGAGCCCTCAGCTATAGGTAAACCGTGCCAGCATAAATCGATGAGGTATTGAGAAACTCTATGTCACATCCTCTGATACGCTGTGATTCTATTTTTCTGGCTAGCAGAGGCCTCCCACAGACTCAGGGCTTGGTTTAGAAATCTCCCTGCCTTTCCCAACTTGGCTCACAATGACCCCATCCAAAACTTTGGACTTTGCAGGAGAGACAGTGGAACAATGGGAACTATAGGAGCTGTGTTGTTCTCACGACTTGACTCAATCCGAACTGTGTCCACTGTAACCGTTAAGGGGTAGCAAATCTCTCTCAAAAGCATCCCTAGACCACCAGCATCAGAATTAGGCGCTTGTTAAAAATGTAGACCCCCTCAGGACCCCTATTTATTCAGAATTTCTGCTGTCAATACCCAGGAATCTGAATTTTAAACAAGCTCCCTGTTGTGTCAGTGCCCCTGCAGGGAACTAATGACATATTCAAATTGGGATAATTTTAGGAGCGTTTAATAAAGAGACCATTTCAGAGAGGTAGTCAGGGTGAGGAGAAGTCGCAAGTGCTGTGCCCTAAGAGCCTAGGTGCAGCTATGCAGGGGCACGGGCAGCACGTGGGTTATTGGAATCTGGAGCAGAGGGACTGTGGGAAGGGCCACAAGATAAGATGTGCTTGGAAATTTCCAACAGAGGCCAGTGCTTGGTGGCCCGAAAGGGGTATAAGCACCCCCAACCCCACTTTGCCGATCTTCTGCAAATCAGAAGCCAGAGGCAAGAAAGCCCATTGTTTTTCTACACGGGAGGAAGCACCCCAGGGCATGGGGCACAGTGAGAAGGATGGTTAGTGGATCTTCAGGACAAGTGGAGACTACCAGGCCCCTGACCCAACCACACCAAACGTTGAGAACCATTGGGCTAAACAGTTTTTCAGTCTGCAGCTGATCAGGGTCAGTTTCAGTTCATAAGTAAATGAGACAGAGGAGGAAGGGAAGTAGAAGAAGAGGTGAAAATTGAAGACCTTATTCTTTGAAATCCAGGGAAAGCCAGAGATCCAGGAAAAGAGGATGAGGGAGTTGCAAGGGTGTGAGCGAGTCTAGACTTCACTTCCCTGGCACGCTCCAAATTCCCCTCACACTGTCCTGCACTTTTGGACGCCTTCTTCTGTGTGTGTGTGTGTCTGTGTGTGTGTGCGTGTGTGTGCATGTGTGTGTCTGTGTGTGTGTCTGTGTGTGTGTCCGTGTGTGTGCGCGTGTGTGTGTGTGTCCATGTGTCTGTGTATGTGTGTGTCTGTGTGTGTATGTGTGTGTCTGTGTGTGTATGTGTGTCTGTGTGTGTGCGTGTGTGTGTGCATGTGTGTGTGTCTGTGTGTGTGTCCGTGTGTGTGCACGCGTGTGTCTGTGTGTGTCCGTGTGTATGTGTGTGTATGTGTGTGTGTATGTGTGTGTCTGTGTGTGTGCGCATGTGTGTATGTATGTGTGTCTGTGTGTGTCCGTGTGTCTGTGTGTGTATGTGTGTCTGTGTGTGTATGTGTGTGTGTATTTGTGTGTGTGTCTGTGTGTGTATGTGTGTGTGCCTGTGTGTGTATGTGTGTGTGTATTTGTGTGTGTGTATGTGTCTGTGTGTGTGTGTGCGTGTTTTCAACCTGCCTCCTTTGGCTTGGCACTTTTTCCCCAACTCCCCAACTTAGCTTGAGACTCTTCTCTTTAGTGCTCTTGGAACTGGAGACAGCATTTTGTGTGTTTTACCTCTTCCTGTCGTCTCCATCATCTGCTACATGTGGTTCTGATGTTCATGGGCACTTTTTTAAGACTTCATTCGACTGTTTCTGGACGAGTCTGTGACTGCAGTAGTCCTCCCTTATCCACAGTTTTGCTTTCTGCAGTTTTAATTACCCTGCATAACAGCACAATAAAAGATTTTGAAAGAGAGACAGACCACATTTACATAGCTTTTATTGCAGTATATTGTTACAACTATTCTAGTTGATTATTGTATTAATCTGTGACTGTACCTAATTTATAAATTAAACTTTATCATATATATGCATGTATAGGAAAACACATAGTATAAAAACAATTTGGTACTATCAGCAGTTTCAGGCAGCCACTAGGGGTCTTAGACTATATCCCCCATGGATAAGGGGGGACTACTATACTTTCCAGCAAAGCTGTGAGGTTGAATGGAGAGGTGAGATGCTAGACCAAAGGTGAGTTTCAGAGGAATCCTTAGAGAAAGCTCATTTGACACTTTTTAAAGAGTTTATTGAGGAGCTTGGTAAAATTTACGATAAACTAAATTGTCTCAAATTATGTTTTCAGACTAGGAATTGCATGGACTGTTTTTCCATCTGTTTGTGTCCTCTCCCATTGCCTTGAGCAGTGGTTTGTAGCTCTCCCTGAAGAGATCTTTTACATCCTTTGTTAGTTGTATTCCTAGGTATTTTATTCTCTTTGTAGCAACTGTAAATGGGAGTTCGCTCATGATTTATCTGTTGGTGGTGTATAGGAATCTCTGTTTATCTGTTGGTGGTGTATAGGAATACTTGAGTTTTCCATACATTGATTTTGTATCCTGAGACTTTGCTGAAGTTGCTTATCAGCTTAAGGAGGTTTTGGGCTGAGACAATGGGGGTCTTCTAAATATATGATCATGTCATCTGCAAATAGGATCTGTCTATTTTGTTGATCTTTTCAAAAACCAGCTCCTGGATTTATTGATTTTTTTTTTGAAGGGTGTTTTGTGTCTCTATCTCCTTCAGTTCTTCTCTGATCTGTAATTTCTTGTCTTCTGCTTGCTTTTGAGTTTTTTTTATCTTTCCCCTCTAGCTCTTTCAATTTTGATGACAGGGTGTTGATTTTAGAACTTTCCTTTAGAACTTTTTGCTCATGTGGGCACTTATTGCTATACATTTTCCTCTAGACACTGCTTTAAATGTGTCCCATAGATTTTAGTACATTGTGTCTTTGTTCTTATTGGTTTCAAAGAACATTTTTATTTCTGCCTTCATTTCATCGTTTATCCAGCAGTCATTCAGGAGCAAGTTGTTCAGTTTCCATGTGATTGTGCAGTTTTGAGTGCTTTTCTTAATCCTAAGTTCTCATTTGATTGCACTGAGAGACCATTTGTTACGATTTCCATTATTTTGCATTTGCTGCGGAGTGAGTTACTTCCAATTATGTGGTCAATTTTAGAGTAAGTGTGATGTGGTACTGAGAAGAATGTGTATTCTGGTGATTTAGGGTGGAGTGCCCTGTAAATGTCTATAGGGTCTGCTTGGTCCAGATCTGTGTTCAAGTCCTGGATATCCTTGTTGACTTTCTGTCTCATTGATCTGTCCAATATTTTCGGGGGAGTGGTAAAGTCTCCCACTATTATTGTGCAGGAGTCTTTTTGTAGGTCGTTAAGAACTTGCTTTATGTATCTGGGTGCTCCTGCATTGGGTACATATATATTTAGGATAGTTAGCTCTTCTTGTTGCATTGATCCTTTTACCATTATATAATGCCCTTCTTTGTTTTTTGTTTTTTTTTTTTTTATCTTTGTTGGTTAAAAGTTAGTTTTATCAGAGACTAGGATTGCTACCCCTGTTTTTCTTTGCTCTCCATTTGCTTGGTAGATCTTCTTCCATCCCTTCATTTTGAGTCTATGTGAGTCCTTGCATATGATACATGGGTCTCCTGAATACAGCACACTTTTGGGTCTTGACTTTTTATCCAATTCACCAGTCTGTGTCTTTTGATTGGGGCATTTAGGCCATTTACATTCAACATTAATATTGTTATGGTTGAATTTGATTCTGCTATTTTGTTACTGGCTGGTTGTTTTGCCTGTTAGTTGATGTGGTTTCTTCATTGTGTTGATGGTCTTTACCAGTTGGTACATGTTTGCAGTGGCTGGTACTGGTTGTTCCTTTCCATATTTAGTACTTCCTTCAGGAGTTCTTGTAAGGCAGGTCTTGTAGTGACAAAATCTCTCAGCAATTGCTTGTCCATAAAGGATTTTATTTCTCCTTTACTTATGAAGCTTAGTTTGACTTGTTATGAAATTCTGGGTTGAAACTTCTTTTCTTTAAGGATGTTGAATATTGGCCCCCACTCTCTTCTGGCTTGTAGAGTTTCTGCTGAGAGATTCACTGTGAGTCTGATGGTCTCTCCTTTGTGGGTGACTTGACCTTTCTCTCTGGCTGCCCTTAGGATTTTTTCCTTCATTTCAACCCTGGTGAATCTGACAATTCTGTCCCTTGGGGCTGTTCTTCTTGAGGAATATCTTTGTGGTGTTCTCTGTATTTCCTGGATTTGAATGGTGGCCCCCTTTGTTAGGTTGGGGAAGTTCTCTTGGTTTATATCCTGAAGAGTGTTTCCCAACTTGGATTCATTCTCCCCATCACATTCAGGTACGCTGATCAAGCATAGATTAGGTCTTTTCACACAATCCCATAGTTCTTGGAGGCTTTGTTCATTTGTTTTCACTTTTTTTCTCTAATCTTGCCTTCTCATTTTATTTCATTGATTTGATCATCTATCTCTGATATCTTTTCTTCTGCTTGATCGATTCAGCTGTTGAAACTTGTACATGACTTGCAAAGTTCTCGTGCTGTGTTTTTCAGCTCCATCAAGTCATCTATGTTCTTCTCTAAGCTGGTTATTCTAGTTAGCACTTCATCTAACCTTGTTTCAAGGTTCTTAGTTTCTTTGCATTGGGTTAGAACATGGTCTTTTAACTTAGAGAAGTTTGTTATTATCCACCTTCTGAAGCCTGCTTCTGTCAATTCATCAAACTCATTTTCTGTCTTGTTTTGTTCCCTTGATGGTGAGGAGTTGTGATCCCTAGCAGGGGAAGAGGTGTTCTGTTCTTTGATGGCTTCATCCTTTTTGTGCTGTATTTTTTTTTTTTCATCTTTGTGGATTTATCTCCCTTTGATCTTTGAAATTGGTGATTTCAGGAGAAATCTCTGAGTGGATGTCCTTTCTGTTGAGGTTGGAGCTGTATCTTTTTTGGCCTGTAGAGGCGCTGCTGGGCTGCATCAGATTCAGTCAGGTTGCTGGGTGGCTGGTCTTCCCCTGGGGTTTGTTTGCAGGTGAAATTAGCCCTGCCTTCCCAATGGCGTCTCTCCCTCCCTTAGCTGGATCTTCCTGGGTGGGTCAAACTGGTGTATTTGCTGCCAAGCTCTCTGGTGTGTGGGCTTCCGTTTGAGTTTTGTGTGTTGGGGGGTGGGGCCTGCTAGGCCTTATGACTTGTTTTCCTGCTTTCAACTCTGCCTCTTTCTGTGGAATGGGTTGTTCCATCCCACTGGAGTCAGTCCAAACTTCCACCCAGGTCCTGCTGACAACTTACGGCACCAGGCCATTGCTCAGATTTGCATGGACAACCCACGGCACCCCTCAGTCTGGTGGGGCTCTTGTGGACCATGGGTTGCAGGAGGGATGAGGAAAGCACAGAATCCAAATCGGAGCACCGAAGGGGTGAAGTTCCCTGACCCTCCGAGCTGGCTGCAGGTTCCATGTGGGGAAGTGCCCCACCCTGTCGTGTTCATTCTCCCTGGGCGGCTCTGGCCCTGCTTTGGCTCCCTGGGCTATTTTCAGAGTCCTTCCAGTCCTGCTGAAATGAACCTGGCACCTGACTTGGAATCGTGAAGTCCTCTAGCCCTCTGCATCTCATTTGCTGGGAGCTGTATTCTGGTGTTGCCTCCTCTTGCCTACCTTGGCACTGCCTCCCCCGTCTCTGTTTTTTTTTTGAGATGGAGTTTCTCTCTTGTTACCCAAGCTGGAGTGCAATGGCACGATCTAGGCTCACCACAACCTCCGCCTCCTGGGTTCAGGCAATTCTCCTGCCTCAGCCTCCTGAGTAGCTGGGATTACAGGCACGCACCACCATGCCCAGCTAATTTTTTGTATTTTTAGTAGAGACAGGGTTTCACCATGTTGACCAGGATGGTCTCGATCTCTTGACCTCGTGATCCACCCGCCTCGGCCTCCCAAAGTGCTGGGATTACAGGCTTGAGCCACCGCCCTCGGCCCCCATCTCTGTTTTTAACTGAAAATGGAATTTGAATTTTACTCTCTTCTTCACACCCTACATCTATCTATCTGTTCATCTAAGTGCATAAGCATTTCACCATAAAGACTCAAATCCACTGGGGATGAAGAACAAACAGTAATAGTTTACAAGTATTGAGTTTTGACTACATACCTGTCATTATTCTGAATGCTTACTGTAGATTGTTTTATTTAATCCTCACAAGCACACTATGAGGCAGCTACTATTATTGTTGCCACTCTTCAAATGTGGAAGGTGAGGCACACGGCAGTTAAATAACTTGCCTAGGCTCATACTCCTGCTAAATCTTAGAGCCAGGATTAAATCCAAGGCAGTCTGACTTCAGAACCTGTGCCCCAAACCACAAAACTCTGCTGTCTCTCTGAGTATGAAGAGTGTCTATACTTAAGTTTGCCCGTCTGTTTTATTCATTCTTTAGCAACAGACATTTGTAGTGCCAAGTGCTGGTGGTGAGAAGCTGAATAAGACTGGTTCTCCTTTCAAGCAGGAACATGGGAGGTCTACAGCACAGGGGAGTGGTAGATCCCTGCAGTATGTGTGAAAGGCAGAATAGGAGGTAGGAATAAAGTGCCCTAAAAAAACAAAGCAGGAAGTGACTTTTCAGTGACGTTTTTGGAAAACTTCCTGGAGGAGGTCACAGTTAAGCCCGTCAAATGGCAGGTACTCAATAGCTCTTTGGAATGAATGGCAATAGAAGTTCATCAAGAAGAGAAAATGATGATAAGTAAAAGAAACACCAGGGGCAGATGGTGGCTTTTGACTTTGCTCCTCATTTTGAGACCCCATTTGTGTATAGCAGGTGGGCAGCAGGATGGGAGTTCCTGAGATTTAACTCTTGTGAAATACCCAGGTCCTCGTGTGCTGGAGTCAGGACCTAGATGTGGCTGAGAGTCCAGCTCACCAGTGGAGGGGAAAAAAGGTTTCCTTTCTTCCCACATCCATGGCTAGGTTCATGGTTGAGATGCCACTACAGCAGAAGATAGATTAACAAGAGAAAAGCATACACATGTATTATCATAAGTTTTACGTGAACCGGGAGCCTTTGGAAATGAAGACCCAAAGAAAGAGAGAAGCTTGTTTATTTTTATGCTTGGGTTGATGACGAGTAGATAGTCATGGAGAAATATGATTGGGGGACAAAAAGGCATGATATGATGGTAACAAACTAGGGGGAACTTAGCAAGGCCTGCTCGTTCAGATCCTTCCTGGCCTCTGTGTCTTTGAGGATAAGGATGTTCCTTTCCTCTAGGTATAGGGAAAGCACCTCTTGAATGAGGATCTTATGGCCTCTTTCAGTTGGTCAGAAAATTCTGTCTAGGTTTTATAGCCTGTTTAAGGGGAGAAGGGCAGGAGAAGGTCAGAGAGTATCCTTATTGCTTCTGCTGTTTTCTGTAATGTCAAAGGGCCATATTTTGAAGCAGCCTGTCCTGAACTCCAATAGCAAGGGCAGAGCAGGGCAGAGTGATAGCCTGGTCAGGAAGTGAATGAATGCGACTCACAGCCATGCTGAGTCTCTAGTGACATCAGGAGCTCAGGTGAGGCTAAATCAGCCAGGAGCCCCCAGGGGCCCAGAGAGGAAGGTCAGGAGTAGGACGAAGACCTCACTAGTCATAGAACAGAGATAGGAGGGACATTTTCTCTGCACATGCCAGTTATAACAATTGAATTTGCAGTACTTCTAGAGACTCCAACATTGTGAGAAAACCAATCCTTTCAGAATGTGAAGACTTGTCAGTTGAACCTGCCAAATCCACCTGTATACTTTGCTTTAGAATCAGAAATGATTCCTTTTTGTTTTATTTTCTCTCTCCCTAAGGACCAAGATGGATTTCCAGCCTGGATGTTTTGGTGGGGATTCTACCCAGTGATCAGGGAAGAACCACATGCCCTTCCAACCTTGCATCAGCAATCCCATGAGGCTCCCCATGAGTCACTGCCAGCAGCCCAGACTCAGCTGTGTGGAGTCTCAGACCCTGGGGCGAAACCAGCTAAGTGCATGGATCTTTCCTGTCTGTGTTCTCAGTGACTCACCCAAAACGGATAATAACAGAGAGGTTGGGCACATCATGTGACTGGTGCCAGCCAGAACAGGTCATGCTGTTAACCCTTGGATCCCAGGCCCCCAACTGCTGACTCCCAGGCCCTATGGCGGGACCATGACACACTTGAGTTGTATCTCCTTCCTTTCTCTCTGGGATCTTTGCTCAAGTTTCCAGCTTTGGAAATATGACCTTCCCTTGTAAAGGATCTCAAACTTGGGGTGGCTACTGATAGAGACTGAACCAATAGCTACTATCCAGGAGGGGCCCGTTGTCCTAAAACGCCACTAGATCACAAGTGGAGTTTTCACTCATCAAATTGGCTGTTCTTCAGTTTGCCAAGGTGCAGGTGCTGACTTCTTTCTGAGTTCTTTCCCCATCAGCTGGGTTATTCCCAGTCTGGGGGAAGAAAGAGAAAGGAGAAATTTAAGAATGGAACAGATGATTTCTCCCATCTCAGGCAAGCAGACTGTGGGCTCACTGAGTATCATAAGTATTTGTGGCCAGGGTCCTAGGCAGGACCGTAACATGTCAGCATGTGACTTAAAGGCTTGGTGACAGAACAAGGATCCACCCAGCTCAGCTGCCCTGCCAGAGTGTCCTCATTGCCTCACCAGCTTCAGATCACTCCCCAGGGATGCTGCATTAATTATGAATACCTCTGGTCAAGGCTGAAAGCCTGCAGGATATGTTCTGTTACCTCACCACTTACATGGGATAGTCCAGAGGTCTCTAAGACTCTCCAAAATATTATGATGATGCAACATTTATCCCATAATATGTGATAGAGCTTAACTCAAAATTTAAGTGATCCTTTGCTGACCCTTAATGAGGTTAAAGTACAAAAAAATGATGAGCTGAGGCTTAGCAGTGATCCAAGTACTGTGAGCTGCTGATTCTTCAAGTTACACGTTACTCCAGGTCTTGGGGTAAGGGCGTGTGTGTACATGTGTGTGTGTGTGTGTGCACATATGTGTGTGTGTGTGTGTTTGTGTGTGAGTGTGAGAGAGTGGGACACTGGGCAGGAGACGGGGGTAGGGAAAGGGATGGGACGTGTTGCTATGCAGAGAGAGAGCGGTAAAACACGCAGTGTGACTGAGAAGACAATCATGTGGTCAGATAGTCAAGGATCTGAGTCTCAGCTCTGACATTCCACCCAGGTGGCTTTAGCAATTTGTGAGTCTTCTTTCCTTCACCTATAAAGTGGGATAATGAAGGTAAATTTGCTAAGTGAGGAGATAATATGTGTCACTGCCTAGGAGAGTCCTAGTCACATAGCAGATCATCAGTAAAGGTCCAAAGCAATGACTGACAACTAGCTGGGAAGTGAATGAGCAAGCCAGGCCAGAAAATTTTATGAACAGTGAAATCTGCAGCTCAAAGTTCCATGTATTTCTCAATAGGAAAACATCTGTATCCCATCTGACGGTGTACAAACACTTTCACTTACGTCACCTCATTCTTCCTTTCAGAAACCCTCTAAGGAAGTTATTGTAGTGAGGAGGAAACTGAGGCCCAAGGCCACACAGCTGGCAAGCCTGGAACTGGACCCCAAGTCCTATGCATCCTTATGATCCTTATGCTACCCCATGAGGGAGCAGCTGCAAGTCATGAGCACACGTCTATCATGCAGCATTTGTCCTGGCCCCGCTCCAGACCGTGTGCCTGTCTGGTGTTACCTGTCTCTTCTCTCCTGTCCTTGCCATACGTTACCCAGACTTGGTATCAGTCACCAATGTGTCTGCATAAGAAAAAGTTTAAATCAAAAGTATGTGGCAAATGTTGCAAAACTGTTTTCACAGAAAATAAAATATTTGTTTAGATACAAGTTAATGCTTCCCAGGATTAGCAGCAGGTAAAATTCTAGGAGACCCCAGTCTCTTTCCCCCAAGCAGAGCAGGTCACTGCTAAATGATCACTGGGAAGAAGCTCCTGCAGCCCACCTTGAAAACTGCAAAATCACAACAGCAGGATTCCTGGGGTTTGTACTATAACTCTGGATATATTTACTTGCCATATTTTTTCCACTTAATCCAGTCTTTTTCTCTTTCTCTCTCTCACACTGGCATTTATCTTCTCAATACTATTTGAGGTGAGAAAAGTTGTAAGAAAGTAATTAAAGTTGGAGTCTTGGTTCTTCCCCTCCTTAAATGTGTAATAATAACAACAACACTAATAACACTAATAGCCATAGCCACACCAACAATCGATAAAAGACTCTAGGCAATGATTGAAGTGATAGTGTTGGAGAGATAGGCCAGTATGCAAACAGCAACTATAAGAAGAAAAAAACCTGAGGAGAATAAAAGAGAAACCAACCCATAAAGTAAATTAGACACTGATTTTTTAGAATACCTTTACTTTCAAGTTTTGGTTTCAGGCCTTGGTTATTTTTATCTATTTTAGATAAAATTCTGGATTTGAGATGAGAGATAAAAGGAAAACAGGGATTTATGCACAAACAAACACACACAAACACTCACAAACACACAGTCCTTAATTCTGCTCATCTCCATCCCTAACCACATCTACCTCACAAGGCTGGTGGTGTCAATTCTTTTTCTTTTTTTTTTTTTCACATAAATACAAAGTTTGTGCACAGATCCTGGCCTGTAGAGCACCCCAAGAACCCCCACTCGTGCAGCTTGGAGGGGCCTGGAGCCTGAGAAGCAGGGAGATTGGAAACTGGAAGAAAAGGCAGCCAATGAAGAAAGGAAGGCAGTTCAGATGATTTTTTAAATTGCATGCTCACTATTTACTCCAGAAGAAGAGAAAGTAGAGCGAGAAGCCGGGGGCTCAGAAGAAAGGGAAGAAAGAGAAAAACCCAACCGGCAAATGTGTATATTTCTCCCCTCTTTGTTCTTTTCTAAATCTGGTTGCAGTAAAGAAAGCCCAAGTTATAGTGACTAAGACGTAACATATGACCCAAATGTGGAAATCTTACCTTCATCAAAAACCAGGCAAGTATAATAGTAATAAAAAACAAAGCACTTAGGGGTTATGGGAAGAAAGCATTTCTGCTTTCAAAACTATGATTGAAGAACTTTCTTTATTTGAAAAACAGAGCTTTTTAATTGTACTTTGTTTATGACATTTGATTTACTATCCTTTATTCCACTTATGCTAGATTGCAGGCAGTGAGAGCCAGTGTCCCCCGCAATCCTGAATAGCAAACTATGTCCACATTGAAAGCGTGACACACCATGCATACGCAGACACACATACACACATGTAGATAGGTATACACTCACACATCCAGCCATTCTTTGAAATCCAGCTCTTATCCCTCCACATCGTTTTTGAACACTTCCTGGGTTTTCAGCCTATGTCACAATGAGAATTGCACCATGTTATTTGGTTATTTATGAGTCAGTTACTTCTCTGGAATTATGATAGATTCTGAGCACCTCGAAGGCAAAAATCCCGTTGCACTCCTTGTCTCGCCTTTCTGTCTACGGCCCTCTACTCATCGTGACACACGTTGAGAACCTCGTGTGTGATGTAATTGCTTTGTAATTGTACAGACTACAAGAGAGACATCAGGCCGGGTGCGGTGGCTCAAGCTTGTAATCCCAGCACTTTGGGAGGCCGAGGTGGGTGGATCACGAGGTCGAGAGATCGAGACCAACCTGGTCAACATGGTGAAACCCCATCTCTACTAAAAATACAAAAAATTAGCTGGGCATGGTGGCACGTGCCTCTAATCCCAGCTACTCAGGAGGCTGAGGCAGGAGAATTGCCTGAACCCAGGAGGCAGAGGTTGCGGTGAGCCAAGATCACGCCATTGCACTCCAGCCTGGGTAACAAGAGCGAAACTCCATCTCAAAAAAAAAAAAAAAAAAAAGAGAGACATCACCACTTAGCTTCATCTTCCTCTGACAGGAAGTAAACTCTGTGACAAGTTGTTTTACTACCTTTTTATTTCTATTTTTGTTTTACCAAATGCATCTCTTTAAAGGCAGTCCTTCAGGATACTTCAAAGAAATCCCTGAAACACTCAGAGAAGACGGGGATGGGATTTAGTTCTCCCTTCAGTCATCCTTCCTGGAGGGGAGATCTGGCCCCTGTGGCTTTCATGGTGACTGCCTCCTGCAGCCTAACCATTAGGGGCGCATAGGAGAGGGTGGCTATTTTGTGGGGAGACCACTGTTCAAAAGCCCCCGCTATACCCTTTGTGTCTCTGCTGTGTTGCCTGCCAGCAGCAATGTCTGATGCCTCCATTTGGCAGCCACAGGCTGTGAGGTCATCTTTTCACCACTTGCTATTTCCTTCAGCATTCAAACTCTCTGGCAGTGACTCAGTGTTTACAATCACATTAACCTGTGAGGAACGCCGTGGCTGTGTCGAAGAACAAGGCCCTTGCTGGCACCAAGGTAAGTGTGGACATGTTCTTGGGAAGAGGAGAGGGGAGGGGGCAGGGAGCCAGGCGCAGCGTGGTGGGATACCTGTGTGTGGGGAGCTGTCTTCCGTTCTTGGCAGGACATCCAGTTCCGAAAGAAGGCGAATGACCCGTCATGCTCAGTCTGGTTTGTGCCGATGCTTGGAGAAGAATGACCCATCGCTGTCTTGTTCACAGGCCGGAGTGAGCAAATCCCCCATGCAGCCAATACATATCCGTAAGGCAGGCGCAATGACATCCACGCAAAAGGAGCATCTCGGGTAACGTTACCCCTTAGGGGCCAAATAAAATATACATGCTGCAAATCAGTCTCGCTCCTCAGAGGAGGGATGGTTGTCAGCAAAATGTTCTAACAGTGTCTACGTACAGCGAGCTCACAAATTTAATTTCCAACATGACTCAAACATGCGCACGCATGGGACACACTCTTTGGTTTGTCTGTAAAAAGGATGGTTTGTTTCCTGAGGGTTCACCGACTGGTTGGAGTCGGGGAATAATTTAGAGCCCCACCAATTTCAAGCCTAGTTGCATCTGATCATTTAAACAGCCTCTTTAGTGAATGTTTAGCCAAGGTCAAATGCTGGGCTTTCACACACCTCTGCCTCCTGCCTCCTTCCAGGGAGGTGGTATCTGTAGAACTGGTATCTAGGTAAATGATGCTACCTTGTGGGAGAGGGGAGGACTATGGGTCCTCCAGCTTCTTTGGTTCCTAGACAACTCTAGGTCTATCTAGATGGTTGCTCACTCCGCTGTCGTTTGTGCACATGTGTTAGGCTGAGGTTATTCACTCAGCCCCTGGGGACTGTTTTTAGGCCCTGACCATGATACATAGGAACCAAGGGTAGCACCAGAAATCTAAGCTTCAAGGCCTCCAGCAACCAGACCATGCAGTATACCCAAGCTGACTTTGATGGGCCTGCACCCAGGGAAGGATGAATCTGCTTTCTTCAGGGTGTGTATAGGGAGCGAACCAAGAGCTTCATAATCTTAAACATTCTACAGTGCAAGTTTAGTTCTAAAGGTGAAAACTCAGAGGGATAATGTGATCGTCTAGTCCAATGGTATTCGAATACAGTTTAGTAGACACTTTACAAAAATTGAATTTGGAAGCCAGTATGACAGACAGATAAAAGTAGTTTCCTTTCTACTTATCAAGACCCATAGGGAGGGATGAGAACTTTGCCCAATGTGAGCTCCAGGGCTTCACAGATAT